ACCCCCCCCAAAAAAAAAAAAAAAAAACAAAACAACAAAGAGAAAAAAAAATACCCAAACTGAGGAGGGGAAGGGGCCGCGGGACCCTTCTGGTTGTTCCCTGGTGGTCGCACCGAGGTGACCGGGGTGGCGGGGGGAGAGGGCCGGCTGGAATGGCGGGCGGGGCTCACTGAGGTAGCGGCACCAGCACTTCCACGTAGTTGAGGGGGAAGAAGCCGGACTGGCCGTGGATCATCCCCTCGTACCAGTTCTCGTCGATCTGGTTGGTCAGGGTGATGATGTCGCCCTCCTTGAAGCCCAGCTCGCCGTCGTTCTCCGGCTCGAAGTCGTAGAGGGCTTTGCAGCAGGGCTGGTCCAGGGGGGCTGCGGGCACAGGGGGCGGGGTGGGAGGGGGGGCAGGGGGTGAGCAGGACCCCCAGACCCTCCTCCTTGTCCTTAATAACGCCGGTGATTCAAAGCCGGATCTCCCGGCTCCCCCCAGTGGGGGCTGATGGGTCAAGGCATCCTCTGGAAGTGCTGGGTGTATCTCCTGCTTCCATGGAAAGCTGTGTGTGCAATCCTAGCCTTGCCTTAGGGGACCACAGAGGAACAGGGCCCAGACTGACTTCATTTTAATTAAAGGGCACTGACTTCAGTCCCAATTTGCCAGTAGGAAGTAAAGCACTTCTGATAATGCAGGTAATGAACTGTCCTTTGGATTTCGATTCAAAGTGCTGGGAAAAGTGTTCCACTCAGACCACAGAGTGAGTGGATACTTCAGCACCCAGAAACGGCTGCAAATTCCTCCAGGCCTGGCCCTGCTGGAGCGAGGGATTCCTGCCAAGGATGCAGGATGGGCAGGGCTGGTTTCACCTTCCCTCTGCCCCACCAGGAAGGATTAACTCCAATCCCTCTGTTATCCCGCTCCAACCCCTTCCAAAAGAGTCTCATTCCTTAAAGTCTTATTCCCCAAAGTCTTATTCCCTGCTGAATATCCCTGGGAATGTCCAAGGCCAGGCTGGGTGAGACTTGGAGCAACCTGGTCTGGTGGAAGGTGGATGGAAACGGGTGGTCTTGAAGCTCCCTCCAACCCAAGTCATTCCAGGATTCCGTGATTCCACAGCCAGGAATGACCCAGCCTGGCAGGAACCCTGTGGGCACCCAACAGCAGCAGCCAAGCAGATGGTTTGGAAACAACTTCCCAAATCACCAGGCTGGTCCCACCACCACATCCCTGGCTCCAGGCTCCTCCTGCCTTTCCCACCACCACGAGCCTTTCCCACCACCACAGCTCCCAGCTGGGATCCCAAAGAGACCCACAGACTCCACGTGCTGAGGCTCTGCCTGCTCCCTCCAGCCTTCCATGGGGAAAAACCCAGGCTGGGTGCTTGGAAAAACAGGGAAAAAAACCCTTTAGAGGTCTGACACCTCGTGGAAAAGCATCAGGATGTGCCTGAGTGGTGGGAGCTGCTCCAGCCCCTCGGGGTAAGCCAGTTTTGGGAGGGGGAAAATCCCACTGGAGTGTGGCTGGGTTAGTGTAGGGATTAAATCGGGCTCAGCACGGAGGGATGAGCAGCTCCAAGCAAAAAAGGAGGAGGAGGAGGAGGGATGGGAGAGGTGGTCACACATCATGCAGTGCAGAGCAGGAAACTCACGGATACTCCTGACGGAGGCCCGGGACGGCTTGTCCGACCGGAAAGAGGAGGAAGCTGCTTCCAAACAAAAAAGAGACATGCTTAAAACCACGGGCATGGAGACAGGGAAAAGGGCATGTTAGGGAGGTCCACGTGCTGTTAGAAACCCCCCCAGGAGCGAGGGAGGGAGGGAGGGAGGAAAGGAAGGAGGAAGGAAGGAAAAGGAGGGAGGAATGCAGTGGGATGGAAGAGGGGAGGGAGGGAAGAGATCCTTCGTTTTTCCTGCCTGGCACTGAGTGGGCACTGCCCAGCCTGGAGACCCCTCTGGGGCATCCCCAGAGCCGACACAACAAAGGCTGTGCTGCCCCAAGAGCCCACAGGCCCAATCCAGAGGCACTCCCGACGTTTTCCAGCATGCCAGAGACAATCTTTTCCAGGCAGCTCCCAATCCGTGCCCCGGGAGGCTGCTCCAGGGGGCACAGGGGGAGGGCACACCCCTGGGCCAACCTCACCTGAGACTTTGGGGGTGGGGTTGCAGGAGAAGCCCCCGTTGGACTGGTCGCTCTCCCCGAAGTCGTAGCTCTCCCTGGGCTTGGGCTTGTATTCCCGCTTGGGGCGGGAGGAGGCCTCCCTCATTCTGGAAGGAGGAAGAGAAAGGTGGGAAAAAACACAATAAGGAATTGGATAAGATGGGATCGATGTTGTTTTTCCTCCTCCTGGTTTGTGGGAAGGATCTGCACCACCCCCCTGTGCTGGAGCCCTTTGGAAGGTGGGTCTTTTTTTTTTCCCCCCACCTCGGGGGGTTTGGGATGTTGCCCTTGGAGAGGGGCACACATCCCGGGCTTTGCCGTGGAATGCTCGGGAATTCAGGCCAGCAGAGGACACTCGTGCTGCAGTTTGGGAGCGCTCAGACTCGGCAGGATCCTCCTGCCGGCTCCTCCTCCTTCCAAGGCTCCTCCTCATTCCACACGGGATGCACTCGGCAGTTTCTCCCGGGAGGGAAGGAGCAGATCCTGCCGAGAGGAGGCCGAGGAAGGCACCGTGTCCAGCCTTGGCAGCTGCTGGAGGGCAGGACCAGGCAGCTCCAGGGGTGTTCCCACGTGCCACACACCCCACCTGCCTCCCAGCACCCCCTCACAGGGCTCAGAACCCCGGGGATGCTGGGGAATGGAGGGAATTCCACCCTTCTCCACCCCTGCCAAGCTCAAATCCAGCCTCACCGGGAGCAGCACTTGGAGGAAGTCTGGACTGAAACCCAACAAGTGGCTTTAACACCCAGGAACAGATTCCCTGGGAGGGTGGGGAGGTCCTGGCACAGGTTGCTGTGGCTGCCCCATCTCTGGGAGTGTCCAAGGCCAGGTTGGAGCCACCCAGGGACAGTGAAAGGTGTCCCATGGCAGGGGGTGGAACTCCATGACCTTCAAGGCCCCTTCCAGCCCCTCCAATTCCGGCATTCTGTGATCCCCAAGGAGCCTGAGGTGTTTCCAGGCAGGGAGAGCAGGGGCTGGGGGTGCCTGAGGGACTCACCTGCGCTTGAGTTTCTCGGCCAGCTCGTCCAGGATCTGCACGGCCTGCCTGTGATAGTCCAGCTGGGCGTCCACCAGGGCCGAGAGCTGGCTCACCTGCTCGATCTGGGGGGGCACAGCGGGGCTCAGGGGCTGTACCCCTGGCACAGGGCACCCTGCACTGCCCCTGGGCAATGGGGACAATGGGGACGGGGGGGGGAAGGTTTGGGATTTGGGACAGTGGAGGTGAGGTGGGATCTGGGATGCTCCTGCCACTGCAGGGCTGTGAAATCCTGCCCTGGAGGGCTGGGTGACTGCCCAAACTCATCCCTCTGTGGAGGGGAGACTCCATCCAGTGAGAGGAATCCTTGGGAATTGGAGCTGACTCCCTCCACCCACGGGAGACCCCTTGGGAATCAGAACTGACTCCCTCCACTGAGGTTCCTCTTTGGGAATTAGAACTAACTCCTTCCACCCACAGGAGACTCCACCCACTGAGGTTTCCCTTTGGGAATCTGAACTGATCCCTCCACTGAGAGGAGACTCTTTGGGAATCAGAACTGGCTCCCTCCAAGGAAAGGAGACTCTCTCCACTGGGATTCCTTCTTGGGAATCAGAACTGATCCCTCCACTGAGGTTCCTCCTTGGGAATCAGAACTGATCCCTGTCTGGCAGGAGCCACAGCCTCTCCTCTCCCGCTCCAGGAGCTGGATCAGGAACAGGGACAGCCCTGTGCTGGGCACTCAGCTTGGGGTTTCCAGGGAGCGAAACCACCCGGGAGCGCAGATGAGCATCCAATTCGGGCCATCCCAGCGGGATCCCACCCCCAGGAACACAGAACCCCCACTCACATCGGTCTCCAGCAGGTTGTGCATGCTGGTCTCTGCCACCTCCTTGGACTCCTCGAACTTTTCCATGGCCTGCCGGAGCTCCTCGTCCGGGATCTTGCCCTGCCGCTTCTTCTTGTAGTCGAAGTCCAGGCGCCGTCCCTCCAGCTTCTTGAGGTGGTGCTGGGGGCAGGCTGGAGTGAGCAGGGCAGGGGCAGGAGGAGCTGGGAGCAGCCAGGCTCTCCTGCTGGGAGGGCTGAGCTGGGAGCAGCCGCTCCAGGGTGGGATGATCCGGGGGGATCATTGTGACAGGGGACGATCCCAGCCCCTTCCCGCCGAGGGGAGCGCTGGCAGGGGCAGCCCCACTCTTTGTTTGGGAAGGTGGAGAGCTGCCCTGCTGCTGTCAGCTCCTCGGGGAGCTCTGGAGATCGGGAATGTGGGCTCTGGGCCTGGCATTCCCACTGGGAATCGGGGGACAGAGGAGCACTGGAGCAGCGGGTGGGGGTTACGTCACCTGGGGCACCCCTGCAAGTGAAAATCCACCCAAGAGAGCTGCCTTGGGAATGAGAGGCTGGGATAGATCCCATTCCAGAGCCTGGCTGAGCTTTGTATGGACCTGCACTACAGAGTTCTGAGTCCCCCAGTGAGACACCAAAGGGCTTTCCTGGGATGCTGAGGACGGAAGGGGAGGATTACTCGGGGCTTGAAGCCCCAGGTGAACCCATGTGGGAGCTCCCAGCACAAGGAACCGAATTCAGCAAGCCCAGGTGTTTTGGGATGTTTTAGGAGCCATCCCAACCTGCACCCAGGAGCAGCAAGGAGGCCTGAGAGCGTGGAGGGAGAAAACACCCAGGGCAGGGAATTCCTGCCAGCACTTGGATCCCACCTTGGCAGAGCACCAAGAACCAGGAGAGAGGAGGAGGAGGAGGAGGGGAAAAAACAAAACAAAACAACACTCTGGAGGTGTTTTACCTGGATCTCCTTCAGGTCCTTGTCACACAGGTTCTGCAGGGGGTCAATGAAGTTCTGTTTGACTTCGATGTCCAGAGAGTCCTTCACCTCAGCCAGGCGCTTCATGGACTCACCGGCATCCAGCAGAGCATCACCTGCCAGGGAGGGAGGGAGGGATGGGAGGGATGGAAGAGGAAGGAGGGATGGGAGAGGAAGGAGGGAAGGGAGAGGAAGGAGTTAAACAGAGCCTGAAACCACAGGGCTGCACCAAGAGCCATCACCGTGCGTGAGAGAATCGTGGAATCCCACACCGGTTTGGCTTGGAAAGGACCTTAAAGCTCATCCAATTCCACGGGCAGGGACACCTTCCACCAGTCCAGAGTGCTCAAAGCCCTGTCCAACCAAGCTCTGTCCCTCATCCCAACTTCCCTACACCTCCCTCTGGAGCAAATCCCCCCTGACTGCACACAGGGCACTTCTTCACTGCTTCATTTTTTCCCCTCTGAAAAAGCTGGAACAACCTCTCCCAGCCCTGCAGATGAAGGGGAGTGTTTTCCAAAAAAGCAGGGTTTGGAAGCTCCCTGGAGCTGCTGAGCTGCTAATTGGCCATGCAGAGCTCGAGCCTGGCTCTGCTCTGGGGCAGTGGGGCTGAGCCAGCCTGGCCAGGCTGTTGTTCAGGCCACGGGAAGCCCAGAGGGCTCTGCCCAACTTTTCCAGTCTGCCCAGGCTCTGGCAGCAATCCCTGCAGCCTCTCACTCGTGGCAGACACCATCTCATCCCTTCTCCTCCCCTCTGAGTTACTATCCCACTTTTTTGGGGGTCGGGAGGGACCTTAAAGCTGCCCCAGACTCAGGGCAAGGACATTTCCACCAGCTCAGGTTGCTCCAAGTTACTCCAACCCAGCCTTGGGCACTTCCAAAGCTCCAAGTCCCTCACTGAAACCTCTTTAGTTCCCTCCTTTTCTAAGGAGGGAAGCAGCAAAGCACATTAATAACAAATTAATTAACTTTTTCCTGGGCAAGCTTTGGCAAACCAGCCCTTCCAGACAGAGAGGGAAGAGGTGAAAACCCCTCTGCACCGTCCAGCTGGAAAAATGAATGGAGCAGGAGAGTTATTCCAGTTGTGGTGACTCCAAAGGGGAAGGGATGGAGCCCTGAGGGCCCCTTAGGAGAGGCTGTTGAGGCAATCAGGGTCAGCTCTCCTGCGAGATCCTCCCCAGGATTCCTCTGTTCCCAAAAGCAGCCAGAGGTTTTTCTCATCTCCCCCCCCCTTCCCAGGGACAGGCAGCTCCTCCCCCACGTGCCCTGGCTGGTGTCTGAGGGGATTAGAGCTGATGTCAGCCCCTCTGCTCCCCTCCCAGCCACACGTGGCCGTGGAAAAGAGCCACAGGAGGAGGAGGATTCCTTGGCTCCAGCCCCTGGCTGCAGTCACGGGATGCTCTGGCTTGGGAGGGACCCCCAAAAATAAGCTCCCAATCCCAAAAAGCTGGGTTCTGTTCCCACCTCCTGGTTCAGTTTGGAAAGTGGGTTTTTTTGCTTTTTGCTTTTTTTTTTTTTTAATATTAAATTTATCTCAGGGTTTAGTAAGGAAGTACTCAGAGGTGGTTTTTGCCCTGGATTGGGATCCAGGATACCAGGGATTGGAGAATAATAGAATGGGTTGGGTTGGGAGGGGCATTAAAGCCCATCCAGTGCCACCCCCTGCCATGGGCAGGGACATTTCCCCTATCCCAGGTGGCTCCAACCTGGCCTTGGACACTCCCAGGGATGGGGCAGCCACAGCTTCTCTGGGAATCCCATCCCAGTCCATCCGGTGGAAGTGTCCCTCCTTAAAAAAGGGTTATAGGGTAGATTGGGACGGGAGAGAGACAAACTGAGAGGGTGGGGAAGGGACGGTGGAACCTTTAGAGACCTTTGGAGACATGGAGAAAAATCTCTAAGGAAATTCCCTAAGGAAGTTCCCTAAGGAAATCCCCTAAGGAAATCCCCTAAGGAAGTTCCCTAAGGAAATGGGGATTCCTTTAAGTACTCTGGTGCCACAAAAGGGTCCCACAAACCCTCCCAGATCTTAAACCACCACTCTGGAAGCCCGTCAGGAGCCTCCAGGCCCCGTTTCCTGGGAACCACTCACCGAAGTTGGAATCCTCTCCCAGCTCCTTCCCGTAGCGGATCATGCTCTCCCCCAGCAGCCCCTCGGACTGGGGGTATCCCGGATTCTTCACCTGCCCACGGATCTTGGACATCGTGTTGAGCATGGTTAGCTTGGCTCTGGAAGCTGGCACAGAAACAGCCACAAGTTTGCAGCTCCTGGGACCTGCCAGGAGCTGCTGCCAAGTGGGAAGGAGGATTGGGGAAGGGGAGGGGGTGGAGGGAGGGTTGTGATGTGTTTTTTTTTTTTTATTTTTTCCCTGCTACACCCAAAGCCAAGAAGCTCCACTGGCTCCACCTCCCAGAAATATCCCTGGCTAGGAAAAGAAAAGCTCCTTTTCCAAGACACCAGGCAAAAAATAGTTCCCCTGCAGGAGGCCAGAGGAGTTTCCCTGGAGCAGCTGGCTGGCAGGAGGCAGCCCTGCAGGCTCCAGCATCCCCCTTTCCCGGCCCAGAAACTCCAGCTTTTCGCTGCACATTCCAAGAAAAACGGGTGTGTGTGTCCCCCACCACCACCACCTCGGGCCTCTCCGGGTCTGATGTGTCTGTTCTGGACCTGCCCTGATCCAAGTGTGGGCTTGGGGATAAGGAAAGGATGTCCCTGAGGTATCCCTGCCCTGTCTCCATGATTCCCTGGGAAGTTGGGAGCAGAGGGAAGGGGCCCAGGAGAAGCCCAAGGCCCTCACCTGGGTTGGGCTGGAGGTACTCGATTGTTCTGGTCAGCACTTCTGTGACGGCTTTGCTGGTCAGGTCCACCTTCTGTGGGAGAGAAAGACAACCCAGCATGAAAAAAGGGGGGTGGGGGAGTCAGCTCAGGGCTCCAGGGAGATCCCAGAGGGGTTATCCCGGGATTTTAAAAGGTTCCCAACTCGCCTTTTCCATCTCCTTGAAGTCATCATCGAGTTTGGTCCCTTCGGCCCCTCCGACCTTCTCGCTGACCAGCTGTGGGGGGAGAGCAAGGCAGGGGGGGTCAGATCCTGCTGGATTCCTCATTTCCCATGGAATAACCCCCTGGGACACACAGGGAAGAGGGATGGTCCCGGGAGAGGAAGGAGGAGGCAGGAACAGCCCCCCTAAAAAACACCCCAAACATCTCCTGCCTGCCCAAATATCCAATCCAGGACACTCCTCACCCCCAGCAGGAGCCACAAGAGCTCCATAAATCCAAGCACAATCCAAGCTTTGACTCCCAAATCCTGCTGGGAAAAACCAACAGGCAGCCAAGTGTCTCTCAGCTCCCTTTCCAGCCGAGAACTGGGTTTCCCACACGGCAAAATCCCGGGAAATGGGGAAGGAACACGAAGGAACAGACTCTGCTCCAGCAGCCAGGGGACAACAGGGCCACCATTCCCAGGGGAATCCCTGTAGGAGCTCAGGCTCTGGGGCTGGAATTCTTTGTCAAGTGACAGAAAATCCCAAAGTGTCCCCTGTTGTAAGAGCCGGTGGAAGGGGAGGTGTTGGACGATGATTTTGGACTATTTTTGGGAAGGCCCCATCAGTTCCTCCTGTAAAGTTGTAAAGGAGCAATTAAAGGGATTATTTGGCCCCAAATGGCAGCAGAATTCCCCACCCAGAAACCCAGAGTGGTGTGGGAAAGGCTCTGGATCCCAAAACAGCCCCGAGGCGTTGCCAGGATTCCTCCTGTTTGTCCCCAAAGCCCAAGGAACAATCGAGGTTTGTTTACTTGAACATCAAATATTTGATTGTATCGAGGTTTTTTCCTCCTCTGGAACTGCTCCTGCTCCCCAGGGGATTCCCTGTGGGAACTGTGGGGGTTTGGGAAGGAAGAGGGGGAGGGATCCTTCAGCCAGGAGAGAACAATTCCAAGGGGAGGGGAGGGAAAGGGGAAATTGGGATCTGGAGACCAATTATCCCAAGCAATTCCATCCCCACTTTCCCCCACACACTCCCCCAGCCCTGGCTTTGTGGGCTGGAAGGCTGGAAAATAAAGGGAAAAAAGGGAAAAAAGGGGAAAAAAGGGAAAGGAAAGGGAAAGGGAAAGGGAAAGGGAAAGGGAAAGGGAAAGGGAAAGG